GTGTTGCACTTCCTGAGCTTTGCATCCTGATCCTGCTACCACAATGTCCTGTGCCATTGTTGAGTTTCCCTTTGAGCAGCTGTTAAGCTGATTTTGCATTGCCCAACCGGAAGCACTGCTCTCAAATGTGTCCTTGCCAAGAGTCTTATACCATTCGAGCGATTGGAAGGCTCCTGAAATGTTTTGAAGGTATTATGTGTGTAAATGCTGTGTATTATATAATCTGAGGCTAGTAATAATAATTATTTTCTATTTTTGTGCACGGGCTAAACTTGTACTCATTATAACTTATACAACTAAATTAAAAATAGCATTAGCTAATATGGCAATCTGGCAATTCCCCAATGCAACCGCTCTTTCTAGATTGACATAGACGTAGACATCGAAGAGGGATTTACATAAAGTTTCATCGTGATTAAAAATATAAATATTAAAAATATAAATACATTATGGGATCTATGATGTCTCATTCAATACAAACTTGAAAACAAAATACGGATGTAAAATAAATACTTTAAAGAACTCTGTTTCAACACCCGCTTTTGATTATTTGTGTTTTTGTTCGTTCTTGTGCCAGTGCATGCTCTAATTCTTTTGAAAAAACTAAAGCTTCTCAATCTGACACACATACATACATTCACACATATTGTGCTGCTTACTATAATGCTGCTTATCTGCTGGCTAAATATGCAGTTGCTAAAAACTAAAAACCCAAAGAACAACAAACAACAATTCCCATAAAGAGACACAAACCATTTGGCATTTTCATCAAGAAAATACACACACACACACTAACTGACACACACACATACACACACATGAAAATGGCGACTCCTTTGCCTGTCGCCAGCTGTAATGCAAATGCATGAAATGCTTCAGCAAATGATGCTCAGTTGTAAACACAAAACATCAGGGATCCCAGAAGCCATTGAAGTTGAATTTGGAGCTGGAGCTAAGGTCTTTGTTTTTCAGCTAAAGCAAGTTTTTGGAAATTCTCTGATGATGAAAAGCTGCCGCTTCGTCATCACATTTGTAAGCAAAAACATTTCAGCTAAATTAGTTTGTGCATTTTGGGAATTGTATTAACTAATGTACTAGCAGTGCTCTGCGAAAAGTTGGCATCGCTGCCGGCCAAACAGCAATACAAATAAATATGCAATTTAAAGTGCTATTAAAATGACATTTAATTAGGATTAAAATTGATGCAACCAAAAAGAACTCAGGCTATTGGCTAAAACAGAAATAGTTGAAAAAAAATAAAAAAAAAACAAACACACACATAGCAAGCCGAAAGTGTTTTAAATGCATTTGGTTGCAAATGTTTTTTGTAAATATTACGCATACGCTCCGCCCCCCAACATTTCGCCTCGCCTCGACGCCTGGCCACGAGGCTAAACGAGCAACATTGTATGCCAAGTTCGGGCCAGGATACGGGCGAGGGCCCTCACAAACGTCCGACGAATGAGACGACGAGTTGCTCCCCTCGCCGTGCCCCGGCTCCGTATGTACCGAGACATGAATGCCCGTCGTTGGTTGGCTGCCAGCAAAATTGGAGCCTATGTAAACGACGTACGCACCCGTCGTGATGTATTTTGTGTGTATGTGGGTCCATGTGTGTGTGTGTGTGTCTTTATGTATATGTAGGTGACATGTATCACAACAACAAGAGTCATTGCAATGGCCAAATGTAGTAGAGTAGAGGCCAAAACTCTGTAGGGAGCCCATGTAGGGGAATTTTACGCCAAACATGTTGCAAGGGGAGGAGTTAATAATATAATAATACATTTGTTTTTATGTATTCTACTTTATTTGAGCTACTCATAACTGTAAAGATTAATAAATGTTGGAGAAAGAAATAATACTCATTGTTAAGATGATTTGCATAAAAAATGTTCACCATTTTGTATTTCTGGGAAGAAATGTAAAATCTTAAATTTTCTTTTATTTACTTGAAAGAATCATTAATATAAAATTAATAGTACAATTTCATTTTTTTTTTAACTGCTATTTATTCAGACATAAAAAATGTCATACATAAACAAAAAAACGGAGTTTGTAAAATAAGCTAAGCATTGAGTTGTAACTAAAAATATATAATGAAAAGATATAAAGATATGAAGCTTACTTTTAAAGTTAAATTACAAATATGTTTAATTTCTATTAAATTTTCTGACTATACTTTAAAAATTCATGGAATATTCTATGTTGCTATGAGATTCTTAATATATATTGTGAATATTTTACGATATGGTTTTAGGTTTTAGCTTAGATATCCACTGATATCCTTTTTGTAGATTTTATACAGCAAATATATGAGATTTTGTTTTTAAACAATTATAATTAGTAGCTTTTTATGAAAACAATTGATATTTCAAATAGTACAACCTAAATGTAATTGTAAAGTTGAAACACAGAAGTGTAGATTTGTCAACAATAGAAAAATCTATAATTAAGTCAAAAGCTAACCCTTCTTGCGTGGCAAATATTATTGCGAATGCTATTCGTGCAATTGGAAATAAAGTATTAACCGACCTGCCCCAAAAAAGCAGGCAACATTTAAATGGAATTTAAGACAACGAATAACACACAGTACCGAAAATTTCGCACATTTCATTCGTTGTCCGATCGGACATAGAAGCATGTAGTAGGTGCCCAAATACATATGTAAATTGACTGCAGTTGTGTAGGTGGAGCGAGCCGACTTATGTAATAGTTGTTTTTTTGTTGTTGTTGAACGAGAGTTTGTATTTCATGGTGGGGCAATGCGAGAGCGAGACGGATGGAGCCGAATGCAACATGTTCGATGTGACGAGCACTTCTGTTGCATGCTTCAGGGCGCCACTAAGCTTACACTGCCCAAGTTGTAAACAGAGCGCAGGCCGAGGCTGCTCTCCGCGAGAGAGAGGGAGCATGGGAATGGCAGAGAGAGAGAGAGAGAGAGAGAGAGAAACAAAATGCCGGCCACGTGGCATTGTTGCATTTTCTGCTCAGTGTGCGTGTGTGTGTGTGTGTGTATGCGTAGCTGTTGATAAGCAGCAGCGAAGCTATTAATCAAAACAAAATCAAAAAAACGATACCGTTGTGTGCGTGGGCTGAGTGGCGTGAGAGAAACACGTGCCGGCCACTTAACAGTGCTGATTTAACACCGCTCTGTTAGCGTCGCCCAGTCGGCAACAAGCACTGCGAATTGCTACTGCTGCTCTCGCTTCCGGCTCCTGCTTCCGCCACTGCTTTGAATTAAATACTTGTAGATAGCTAGCGGGCCACCCAGCATTGGCCACGCACAAAACAGTTAATGGAAAGGAGCAGGCGTCTGATCGATTGCACCAAACCTTCAACCTTGGCATTCGTTACTGCGTTTGACTCACGCCTTTAAGTTGGTAAAAAAAAAAACTATTGAATGATTCAACAGGCGGACACATTAAGTCAATTGTCTTAGGAAATTTCCACGAGCTGCTGCATTGATGCCTAAGTCCGTTAAGCAGTGACTGGCGTCAAATTAATCTTTCTTGCATTTTACTTTTGCTTTTGCCTGTTTGCCCAACACTTGGCACGCACACGCCTCAGACATACATATATGTATGCATATACATATATATATATACTACATAAAAATGTCCTTGTACTTTTACATAATAAACGAGTCAATGCCGAAGCCAAGTGCAATGGCAAGGAAAAAAAAATGAAATGGAAAGCTAGGTGCTACAGCTGGTGGCATTTAACAGAGCCCTGTTAATGACAGCAACACTGATAAGAACCGGCAAAATTCACACCACAAACAGAGAGAGAACGAGAGCGAGAGCGAGAGAGCGACCAGAGAAGGAGAGAGGAAATGTTTTTAAAATGTGTTGCTGCTATTGCTGCTGCTGTAAGCAGCAACTGTAAAGTGCCCTGTAGTTGCGTGGCACTAAGCCAACAAATATGGGGCGCCGTTGAACGTGTGTGGGTTGCAACCGCACACAACTGCGCTGCCCTCGGCTCTGCTCTGTTCTGCTCAGTTTCGCTTGCAACTACAACTACAGCTGCAACAACTGACGTTATGCAGAGGGTGTGTGTGGGGGGGGGGGGGGGGGGGACTGGGTGGTTTGCTTTGGCTACACAACCCTTGACACCAGGCATGACTTCGGCTAGTGTTCGTCTGTCGTGCATTATGTACATTCCGACAACACATGCACATGGGCCCTGCATCTATGTGTTAGTTGGCGCTGCTACTGCTGCTGCTGCTGCTGCTCCTGCTGCGGCTGTTGGTGTTGCCACCTCTGCTGCTGTTGCTGCTGCTGCTGCCAGCTTCACAGGACACACGGTCGTTGCAATAATCGCAGTTTGCACATTCAGCCAGCATTCAGTTGTACGCGGTGGGTTCTTCAGTAAGGACGCACAGCACTTTCTGCACTCAAAAGGCAGTCAGTTAGCTAGCCAATCGGCCAGTCAGCCAGCCAGCCAACCAGTTGGTAACTTGATAGCTTTTTGCAACTACTGTTAGCCAAGAAGTGCGGTGTAAATAGAACTTGTTAACCCAATCTCACATTGAATAAGGCAATAACAACAGACTCCCAAAGAGACATCCTTTCAACAATCAGCTGATGTGCAGAAAGCCGGCGCTGTAAACTTTACAGCGTCCATTACATAAAAGCTGGGTCTCTGCTACAGGCGAATTGACTTATTAAGAACGAAACTATTAGCCCCCAACGTTTCAATTAGTTGCTGGGCACTCCGGCTTACTCAACGAAATTGATAGTTGGCGTCGCCAGAATCCATTGCAAGCAACTTGAAGCTCAAGCTTGAAAATCACAGTTTACGATTTCCTTTTTGTGTATGTGAAAAAGAAATAGCCGTCATTGTTGTTTTGATTCTGATTTCTTTTTTTTTTTGTTTCGTTACTGTTCATTTGTGTCGCGTCAAGTAGTGTAATTTTATTAAGCTTTCGCGCTCAGTGAACAATACTTTGAGAAACGAACAGACTCGCTTGTTATCATCGTGGCGTAAAAAAGTGAATTTTTATTAAAGTCAACAAGCTGCTGCGCAATAACATAGACTACAATCAGGTGAGTTTCACATGACAAAGAAGTTGTTATTATCTTTCATTTTTATTACATTCCTGCATAATCTAATTGGAAATCGTGCTTACGACACTAGCATGTCTCAAAAGTGGTTTATCCTGTGTGCAGTTCCAGTTTGGAATATGAAAATGTTGCAGAATGCCTGCTTTGATCGAAACTTGGCTTGATCGACCACAAAATGACAAATTACAAATTAGTCGATTAAAATCAAAATAATATATAAATTACAAAATTTACTCATTATAATTTTAAGACATATTTAACATTTTTTTAAAATGATTTATTATTTATTTTTTAAATTATTATTTATTATTTGAATTGGACAGCAAAAAAACGTAAGAAAAAACACAATCAGGAAATATGTAGTCAAACCAAAAGCTATCAACTATCCTTCCCAGTTTATTTTTAAGAAAAATAGAAAACTTTTAATTATAAATAATGTAAGCAGTACTTAGCTGTCAGAATGTTGGTTTAAGAAATACATTTAAAAATTAGTTATCATGGGTGGCATAAACTAAATAAAAATCTTCTATGAGTAGGTGCACTTTATCTTAATTTGGTGAACGAAAAGAAATAATAAAGATACATTTCTGTTTATATATATATATATAGCAGAAGCAATTTGCAAGAGAGCACAATTTAGATATTGTGAAACAAATTTTGCTGTCGAATAATTTTTCAAGTTTACTTTCGAGTGGCTCTTTATAAAAAAAATCAACAATTATTTAAAGCAGGCAAAATATATAAATAAATAATTTCACATGAGTAAACTACAAGTGAATTATATTTAACACAAATTTGAATTGATATTCTTCCTCATGTTATTTTATAGCTTTGCCAAAGGCACTAAAAATATGTAGAAAATATATGTTAAGCTGGGCTTGAATTATTTGCATATAATCTATCCAAAACTGATCCGTATGCAATTTAATAAAAATATATAATTGGAATTAGTTGTGGAGCAGTTGAATAGTCAAAATATTTTCACAAGCGTTCCTTTTTAATGCAAAACCTTATAATTCGACGCCTTGGTTTATTTACACAAATCGCAAACGCCTCAGCCGCAAAAACAAAAGCAATGATAATAACAATACCACAAACAGAAACCGTAACAAATTCCAATAAAAAAAAAACTTTTCATATTTACGTAAGCCAATTTACACACTGGCAGGCAACACACACACACACACTCACACACAGATATGGACTGATATGAGGGAAGAGCATCGAATTGGCAGCGTTGCCATGAAAATCTGTCTGTCTATTTGTGAGTTCCGTGACTGAGTGAATGGGTGTAGAGATTGTGTTGTAAAATGTGTGTTAGCCGAACTGCTGCCTGCTGAACATGTAGACAAACGTTGACAAAAAAAAAGCATGAATCTGTGGCAAGTGGAAAAACAGGATGTTCGCAAGGAAAAGGGAAAAGCAAAGTGTCAGCATCAAAGCTATTGTTATTGTAACTGCTCTGTTAGCCAAGATCAGGGCCATACAAATATTATGTGTCTAGGTGTGTGTGTCTCTATGTATGTATGTGTATGCTGTTGCAATTTGTACGAGTGCAGCAGAGTCGACAACAACAAACGGAAGTAATTCGATTTCGTTGGCATGCTGATGATGAGCCTACGACATCGTTGTGCAATTCACGGACAGGCAGTCAAATAAACATTACAAAACTGTTTGAGCAGTCACAAATGTCACAGCTGTCAGATTTGCACTTGGTTTGCTTGCATTGGACAGGCGGATAATAGTTTAATGCAAATTAATAACAATTTAGATATTAATTCAATTCACTGAATCTGTAATTCCAGTGCAACTAAAAGATAATTTAGAAACATGTACTTATAGTCATTTTTACTTCATGCCAGATAACATAATTGTCGACATCTATATCTATATCTCCATAATAATAAATACAACAAACATTTATATATTCACAATATTACGTTAAATAATTACAGCTTGGCCGTCAACTTGTTAATTTTGATTTATGATCCTGATAGATGTTATTTGGCTACAAGCTAAATTGTTTGTTAAGCAATTATTGCCCAACAAATTACATTAACGCTTCTATGATTAAATTAAACATGTAAAAATTAATTGCATGTTGCATTATCTATTTAATTTTTACAATTGGTATTTAGTATTTAACATTTTTGTTGTTTGTCTTTAATGAGATTCTGTCGACTTTAATGGGATTTTTTGAAAGATATACATTTCAACTTATATTAAAAATTTAAAATCTTCTGAAATACACACATAATATAGAAATAATATAATTTGTTGCATCTGAATTTAAAATTTTATTTTTCAGATAGTTCTGTTTGATGATTTTTAAAGTGCTTTTGCCAATGTGTTACACAAATTTTCACAAATTCTGCATACTAAAACGCTTATTAAGCCAACCACAAATTGTTAAATGAATTTCAGGCCACAACTTTACAGTCAGCCCGGCCCTCAGATATTGGCTACAATAAGTGTTGTCAAATACATTGAAGCCATTTTACGTTTACAGTGCAAACATCCTGTCTGTTGTTGTGACTCGCACCAAATTAAAGAAGACACAAATGCTTATGATAAAATTGCCGTCGCATAATTGCTTCAATTTAAAAATGCATGACAAGTCTTTTTGAGAAATACTACTCGTGCTCAGAAATTTACAAAGTAATAAAATGACTTGAAAATTGTAAATTTCTTGAGAAATTTGCAATGCCTTTATATTGATTATCTATTGCTTTCCTTGCCTGTGCGTATTTTTATTAGGCCTGCGGTCATAGATATTTCGACACAGAGACATTAATATTTAATTCCATTACAATCCACAAAATGTGAAATGACCATCAGCGACATATTGCCTAACACACAAGCGTAATAAATAATTCGAAATATCTATGAAAATGTCGATTTGAATATGCCTTTGAGCCGGTTCAGTTCATGGCGTGTGCGTGTTTCCTATTTACACCTAACTAAACTAAACTAAGCCAAACTAAACTAAGCATAAGCCAATTTAATGCCTTATTTAAACTCCCAAACAGTACGAGAGTAACTATTAGCAAGCTCAGTCCCAACTCCAAGTCCAACTCGTACCCAACCAAGTGTACTTGCCAGAAAGCCACTGTCCCATCCTGTGCCCAGTGTTGGCATGCGGGGGGTGTCTGCTTAAAATGATAACGTGGAGAGCGTGGGTTGTCTGTTGAGACAATGTGTGCTATTGAGGCGTGAAAATATCACACTATAAATATACATAAGTGGAGAAAATCTAACTTTAAACAGTGTGTAATTTTCAGCACAGTGTGGACGTTCGATTATTTACGGTTTTTAGCTAACTCATAAAACATTTCTGGTCTGGTTTGCAACCACGCAAAATTTATCAAAAATTAAATCACAAAGACTTTAAGCATATTTGTAATCACAGCCAGGCTGTAGTTTATTGTAAATTTGCATCACAATAAAGAATTCAAATTTGAGAAAAAAAAATCGAAAGTCAACAACAAGTAAAGCAAGTGCAGAATTTTCGTTTTAAATGTCAGTTTATTAGATTATGTAAATGCAGAGAGGATAATTTATTATTTCATCTTGTTTTGGTTTGTTTTTAAACAATAAATATAAGATATGCATTTGTATTTATTGTCAATCACAATGAAATAATCAATTTTAATTAGAACAGTTACTTAAATGTGCAAATTGGCACCAAAAATTCTATTATCTGTATAAATGTAATAAAATAATTATGAATTTTAAAGTGATTGTTGGAAGTCTCCATGGATTCTAACAGCCATTTTCAAATACCAAATCGCGTATCTTGTTTAATTTATAGATGCCTGTAAATTAAATGTATGCTTAATTCACACAACTTTCATTTAATAAAGATAAAATACAATAACATTTTCTATATGAGTTAAAACTATATAAGAAAGTTTAAAACGTCCTATAATGTTGCAGAGATCATTAAAAAAAAAGAAGATATTTCAACCTTTATCTTTAAATTAGCCGAACTAAGCTACAAACTAAATAACATTTTATTTTATACAGTTGCTAATGATAAACAAATATAAACATGACTCTCCAAATAAACTCTACTAGGTGCGCTACTGCTTGTTAAAAATAAAAAAACAAGTAAGAAAGCTCTAGTCGAGTGAGGTCGACAAGAAGATACCTTGAAAATACATTAAATTGATTAAATCACAGGTTCAAGACTTATTGCCGAATTTCCCTTTAAAAGAGTCTAATTTTGTGTGATCCGCGTCTATCACGTTATCTCTAATTTGTCCAAGAGAACCAATATTTCAAGTTTGTAGTCCCTAGCTTTAATATATTCTATATACTTTTTAGGGCTGTAGATTATGCCCTGTGGCTGTTACACTTATGCACCATTTTATATTTATTTTCAATGAGTTTAGGATATACAAATTTCTCGAGCAGCGCAGACAGAATGCTAATACCCCTTTTACGTTTCCCTACTCTGTCAGCAGGCTGTCTCCTCGTTGTCAACAGCCAGTGAAAAAAAGTTACAAAACCGAAACCAGGCAATTTTCTAGAGTAGTAAAATCGCGGCTTTTATTAACCACAATGCCAGTCTATTGAGGCAAAAGGGCAGCGAAATGTGGGATCCAGATGCTGGACAAACTGTCGCGCCTGTCCTCGACCGCGTGGAAAACCGGAAAACTGCAGAGAAAAAACAAACGGATTTTTGGTGTGGCTGATCGGTGGTTTGATGTAATAGTCGCTTATTTTTTGGTCTCCAATAGCCCGGGAGCGGTTCATTTGGTAGATGGCTTTATTCGGACTGCTGACATTTCTGTATATACATATATACTGGTATCTATACCTTATCAAATCCCAAAACAGATTCCTTAATAATCTGAGCGTATGCTTTAAAAAATTGAATACATTTGAGGGGAACTTTAATCAACGCTTGCGGTGCTCAGAAAAAAAGTTTTGTTGGCTGGCATTCAATGCGGAAATTAAATGTCAGCGATGCTTGGCAT